GTGACGCTCAACATCCAAGGACACCAAGAGAAGATAGACCTAGATGTCTTCGGACTAGCTACCCACGACATCATATTAGGACTTCCCTGGTTACGAGAACACAACCCACGGATCGACTGGAAGTCGAAGACGTTCTCATTTGAGTGCTGTGGAACGGACGCAACCACAAGCCAGCCTACGCATTGTCAGAGTACGATGGTAGATGAGAGGAAACTGAATAACATCGCAAAGAAAAAGCGAGCCTCGACAAAGGACGGCCTTAAGAAACAAGGGTCCGACTCAGCAGACGCCGGAACGGAGCCACCGGGTCGACAGACTAGAGTTTTGGAGAAACGCGCAACTCCTGAGATTCCCGAAGAATACAAAGAATTCGAACATCTATTCCGGGAAGTGGCAGATGAACAAGCATTGCCAAAGCACCAACCCTGGGACCACAAGATTGTCCTACAGGAAGGAAAGAAACCGACTTTCGGCCCAATATACGGACTATCGGAAAAAGAATTGAGCACGTTACGCGACTACATCAAGACAAGTCTAGCAAAAAAATATATCCGACCATCGCAGTCACCAGCAGGATATCCAATCATGTTTGTCCCGAAGAAAGACGGAAAACTACGACTATGTGTAGACTATCGCAAGCTCAACGACATCACAATCAAGAATCGATACCCCTTACCGAACATTACAGAACTACGGGATCGATTATCTCGCGCAAAGATCTTTACAGCATTAGATCTTCGAGATGGATACCACCTGATTCGCATAGCGAAAGGTGAGGAGTGGAAAACGGCGTTCCGATCAAGATACGGACACTACGAATACACAGTTATGCCGTTTGGGCTCACGAATGCCCCAGCCACATTTCAGGAACTCATCAACAACGTGTTGAGAGCACATCTAGACATCTTTGTCATAGCTTACCTAGACGACATTCTCGTCTACTCCGAGACTTTAGAGGACCATGTGGAACATGTCAAGACGGTACTAAGGGCCCTTGAGCAGTTCAACCTCCGACTCAAACCAGAGAAGTGTGAATTTCACAAGACTAAGGTCAACTTCTTAGGCTATGTAGTAGGAGCGGACGGAGTACAAATGAGCGAAGAAAAGATTCAGGTTATCAAGGATTGGCCAACACCGACAACAGTTGTACAGATACAGTCCTTCTTAGGATTCTTGAACTTCAACCGACAGTTCATCAAGGACTTCTCAGACATCGCCATCCCTTTGACAAAACTCACAAGAAAGGACGTACCCTTTAAATGGAGCAAGGAAGCAGAGAACGCATTCCAAACGCTTAAGAAAGCAAGCATAGAACCACCATGCTTTCGAATATTCCAAGCAGGACACCCATTACGCTTTGAGACCGACGCATCGGATCTCGCGCTAGGCGGATGCGCAAGTCAATTGCACGAAGGCAAATGGCACCCCATCGCCTACTACTCTCGCAAATTCTCAGGACCAGAAGAACGATACGACGTTCACGACAAGGAGCTACTAGCTATTGTCGCATGCTTACAACACTGGAGAGTATACGCAGAAAGCTGCTCGGAACTTACGATATACACAGATCACAAAAATCTAGTGAACTTTACGACCACCAAAGTACTCAACCGCAGACAAGTAAGATGGTCAGAACTACTCGGACAATACAAGTTCAAGATTGTGTATACACCAGGAAAAGAGAACGGCAGAGCAGACGCTCTCAGCCGAAGACCAGATATCGCAGGCACCAAGGAAGTCATCGACACCGCGATACTCAAGGTTAACAAGGACGGATCGCTAGGACCAACAAAAACGCTGAACGCCATCCTCCACATCGGAAACAATGTACCGGAAGAATTGCAAGAGGCAATTATTCAACAACACCACGACGACCCTGTACACGGTCACCCGGGCATTACCAGAACAATGGAACTCATCAGACGCAACTACGAGTTCCCAGGAATGAAGGAAAAGGTTACCTCATTCATCACGAAATGTGCAGACTGTCAGAAGAACAAACACGACACGCATGCACCTTACGGTGAGATGCAAGCACTAGAACTACCCACGGAACCTTGGGCAGACATCTCTATGGACTTTGTCACAGGTCTACCAGTCTCAAGAGACCCAGCGACAAACACAGGATACAACGCAATACTCGTTGTAATCGATCGATTCACCAAGCAAGCAGAGTACATCCCGTTCAGAAACGATTTCACGGCAGTACATCTGGCTCACATCATCAACGATCGAATCATCAGACATCACGGCATACCAAAGTCAATCATAAGCGACAGAGACAAGCTCTTCACTTCAAACTTTTGGACGACACTTTTGGCCGCAATTGGTACAAAACGCAAGCTATCAACAGCGTTTCATCCGCAGACGGACGGACAGACAGAAAGAACGAACAGAACCATGAAAGCATATCTCAGGATATACGTCAACCATCAGCAAACCAACTGGGTTTCGCTTCTGCCAATGGCACAAATGGCATACAATAACAAGCTTTCAGAGTCTACGGGACAGACTCCGTTCTATGCAAACCACGGGAGACACCCAAATCTCTTTACACGCACACTTCCAAGTCAGAAAACGGAAGCAGCTATCGCCACAGCCGAGGAGCTGAAGGCAGTACATGAGTTGCTACAGAACAAACTCGAGACAGCACAACGTCAAAGCATTTCATATGTCAACAAGAAACGAAAAATGGCACCTCAGCTAAAGAGGGGGGATAAAGTTTATCTACGCACAAAGAATCTTCGCACGAAGCGACCAAGCAAAGGACTCGACAACGTCAAAGTCGGACCATTTTTGATTCTTAACCGGAAAGGGCCAGTTACATACACACTTGACCTTCCACCAGACGCTAGAATACATCCTAGGTTCCACGTAAGCCTCTTGGAACCAGCACACCCAGACACGCCATTACAGAAAACCTTCCACTACGAAACGGAAGAAGAAAACGAATTTGAAGTCGAGAACATTGTCACACATCGAGTTGTGGACAACGGCATGGAATACCTAGTCAAATGGTTAGGATACCCAGACAGCGAAAATACATGGGAACCAGATACCAATCTCACAAACTGTCGGCAACTCCTGGCGCAATACCAGAAGAACCAGCCGAGGAAAACGGATCGAGATCAGAGGCAGAGGCCTCAAGGAAGAAGTCATTAAGAATTTGATCAAGCGAAGGATCAAGAAGGTTGTTGGCCTGTGACCAGCCCGGATCAGCGGTAGAACCGATAGAAGAAGACGCGGCGACAGTACTGCCACTTTCCGACGACTGAGCCCGCTCCGAGGCATCCAACAATTTTCGATCGCGACGAGCAAACGCCAGCTCACGATTTCTTATCTCAGCCAGCTCACGACGAGCCCGGGCAACCTCTTCTTCCAAACGTAGCAACGCGAGCTCCTTATCGCGCTTTTCTTGTTCCACCTTTTCCCACTCCTCTTCAGGAACAAACAACTCACAGTCGCATCGCGCTGAGATGCAACCCGCACAACGACCAGACACCGTATCCACAAAACACCGCAGGTTATTCTTTTCGCAACGCTCACAGCGAAACGGCATTTCTCGTCCAGAAAGCTCGACACGACGGAGGCGTTCGTAACGCTCTTCGGTGGTTGTCTTCTTGCGAGACGCACGGGTCCTCGGTTCTTTAGGCATGGTCAGGGAGGCTGTAAGGATTCAGAAAACAAGACGACCCACCACGAGTATTTATACACAGGACCTCTTATGCGACCCCACGGCACGGATAATCTACGTATCAGGGAAGATACGCTGGAAGGGGGAGGTAGTGTTACGATTGCAAGGAGAAGGACAAGCAACAACGGCAGGACAACGTTGAAGGCGGGGCACAGCGGGTAAGCTTGTGCCGCGCAGTCACGTGACCTGCCCTCCAACCTTGGCATGACCGCCATGGAGGGCATGACCTCCACGGAGGGTGCGACCTCCATGGAGGGAAAGGCCACAATGGAGGGCACGCTTATTATATAACAGTAGGCAATGAGCCCTTACGGTTCATTGTGTTCAACTTCGAAATCTAAGGATTAGTACTTGATTCTCAACTCCCCGTATATTACATCGATCTACCAATCGTGCTATACAACCTCGTGTCCATCGCATCACTCCATCCCCGAGAACCAACCCAAGATCATCTTCGGACGACCTTCACACTCCAATACAACAAGTTCACACACGTTTTCTTCACCTTCATCAAATATCTACTACAGATCTGGGTCACATGTTAGGTAGAAGTAGCGGAATCTAAGATGGAGCGGATAGTAGAAAATCGATGCAATTTTTTTAATTTTTTAGTTATTATTGGAACAAGGTCCCTCTAGTAGTATGACTACTGTGGATAACCGAGTGAGAGGGACAAGGCGGGGTGGTTGCAATGTATTGTCTTGACTATCGTGTTGTACAGTGTTCCCAACTTGGACTGTTGTGGTGGGTGCTATTGCCCACCGGGCAGTGCCTGCCACACCAGCATATCATGTGACTCTCAAGCACCTTCTATCCTAGACTGAACCCAGATATTCTCAACAGTTATCAATTTTCCAACTTAGCCCCACTTAAGGAGGCTTTCACTTCCGTTGGGGCCTCCACGTCTCACCCTGATATCGAAGGACCAAAAAAAGGGAACAATCGGCTTGCTCTTGCCAGGAAGATACAGTGTAGTTAGTTGAGGATGCGGTGATTCTTTAGTTGTTGTGGCGAGGGTGCGTAGACCTTCTCATATAGGATGGATATCACTAATAGTAATCTCCTCTCGCGTAGTTCGTACGTCGTGATAAATACATACGTAGATTAAAGAGGTAGAAGGTGCTTGAGAGTCACATGATATGCTAGTGTGGCAGGCACTGCCCGGTGGGCAATAGCACCCACCATAACAGCCTAAGTCTGTGACACTTGGCAATACGATAGTCAATACAATACGTTGCAGCCACCCCGCCTTGTCCCTCCTCCCACTCGGTTATCCATGGTAGTCATACTACTAGAGGGACCTTGTTCCAATAATTACTGTATAGTTAGACTACTTTACTGCTTGCAGCACTCCCGTGTGTTTAATCCGGAACACAATGTCTAGACTACATCTTCGTGCGATTGCTTCTATAATCTGTTCACTGGAGTCGCACGAGAGGATTTTAGGGCTCAAGAGGGTCTTTGTCTTCGAAGTGGTACTTCCTCCTCTCAGCAGCGGGCCAGCATGTAATATCAAAGGCATTCCCTCCGAGTGATGGACCCCGATAGAATATGCTACGTGATCTGCCGTACTCTCTACCGAGAACTCTCCACTTTAGGTCGTTAGGCAACGTTATTTGGGATGACATATTACTCACCTTTGTACCCCAACCCCAGCGATCAACACATTCTTTCCTCTTCCAATAGTTCGCCTTATCCTCATTATCGAACCTTTGTACGAACTTCCCTTCGATGCCATAGATGCCTTTGATCTCGATACTGCTAGCCTTAGCGTAGGAGACAATTTTGTACGGCCAGCAGACTTCTCTAGTATTCGATGATAGATATGGAATCGTCGTGGTTTGATCCAGACAGTCGCAAATGAAGTCTCCAAGAAGTGCGAGAACCAGACCCAGGTCCTTGACAGGGGAGTGCTTCATCAGTAGCTTCGCCCGATCGAGAGCATTTAGTGTGGCTAAGATTGCGATACCAATCATTGCGACAGTGTCCCGCCAGCGCTGACTATCTTCCATCATGACCCAAGGCCCTAGTTGTTGCGATTGAGTCCAGTGGGCGAAAGCTGACAAGCGTACCCAGAGCCCAACAGCAAGCTCATCGGCCGGGAGTCGTCGCTTAGCCATGAGTGTGTTGATTCCTGTGAGCTGGTTCTCTATAACCTCCTGCATCCCATTCCCGGTAAAGTCGTTCGAGACGTACATGCTGAAATTATCCTGGTTACGCTTGGTAGATTCGAGGCTATACTTCGTGACGAGCTCGGCCGCAGCTTCAGAGATTACGTAGGGCCAATCCGGGAACTCCTCGGCTGGCTTGCCATCATACCGCTTCTCATCTTCAGCGGCCAGTCGGATTTCCTTTCCTGTTTCGATATCTTCCAGGTTTACGTCGTACGATGGTTTAGCGTACGTTATATACTTTAGCTGTAGGGTTGACACCTCCTTGTGCATATAAGAGTCAGCACGTTATAGAGCTATTCCAACTACAAACATGCTTTTGTGTACTCACATGTACTGACCCACCAATAAAGGGGGGTTCAGTGCTCTTCTCCCTGAATTCTGGTGATACCGATGCGTTATCTTGGTCGCGGTTGGGTCTTTTTGCTAGCTTTGGTTCTCGCGAATCGTTTGCATTGGCTTCTACAAGCGCTCTCTTTCTCGTTAGCATTTTAACAATGTAACGGTAGGTGACCCTGAATTCTTGACAACGTAGCTCTGTATATAGGTTGAGGTGAAGAGACGAGCCTATTGTGTTCCAACGCGTCGACCCGTACGTTGAGTTGAGGCTATGCGCCATTTCGCCCGAGGCTCCGATGCTGGGGTCGGGTCGGCACTTGGCACAGTGCAATCACCAATCGATAGTTGCCGCGCCGAGTCAATCGAAGCCCGGGCCACCACAGCAACAACATCGAACTCGAGGTCGAACCATTCTGTCACTCTTCACTTCTCCTGGCCCTCAATGCATCCCATCTCAGTCGCCGCCTGGATCTGCGATCTCGAACCTCGTGCCCGCACTTGACCATATCCCTCTCCCTTGCGCACTTGCAAGCGACGGCAGCCCGACAGTCGCAAGAGCCCGCACTCGCGAAAGAAGATACGCCGTGTTGTGCTGGGCGAGATGGCGGCAAACGAACAGAACACGTTTATGCTTCTCCTAAGAGCAATGCATCGTGCCCGAAAAAGAGCATTGACAAGAAGCGCATGCACACGCCCTCGCCGTTGAAAAATTAACGCCAATTTCCCGACGACGCGTATTTGCCCGACGATATCGATAATCCGATGCCTCGCCGGGACCGCTCGTACGTAGCACATATCTCATTCCTAATATCTTATATAAAGAGGCTCTTTCCAACGAGCTCATCGAAGACGACAACGACCTCCTCCAGGCCTGTTCGCCTACACGATCGCACACACAGTTGCAACCTTCCAACTGCTTAGCTAGCCCCAAGAAGATTACTTCTTTATAGAACGTTGAAAATGGAGTGATATACACACACTTGGCAAACATGACCGCTTTGTAACGGGAACGGCTCGGTGGAAACGGGCTTGCGCTCTTGGAGAAGCTCGAGGATGGGGGCGACGGGCCTGTGGCGCCTGTGAAACTCAAATAATAGCTGGCGGAGGCGGACATGGGCAAGGCGAAGCAGCACCAATTTGACGTATTGGATAAAAGGCTAGTGGACGAGCTGCAGACCATACAGGACATGATTTCGCTGTCGCACCAGTGTTCGGTGAACTGGGACCATGAGAACGGGTGGGACAATCGCGTGTACATCAAGGTGCTGGAGCTGGCGTTGGGAAACGATGAGACGAGTGTTCGGTTCCGAAGCGTGTAAGTACTCTTTGGCCTGTTTACGACTTAGGACACTTAAAGAGCTTCGCTAACTAGAGTGACACTATTTAGAACTGCAGCTAGAATCACACCGGAATATCGCCACATGCGCTTGAACAGCCTCATAACTGGCAAGATCCTTGCTTACGCCATTTATCTCGAGCCCTCCGGTCCCGCACGCGACATCATACCATCCCCTCATTGGTATGTCGACCGATTCTATTAACCACATTGGCTACGAGGGTCTGCGCACTTGACATATCGCTGTATCGATCGAGACCAAGACCGAGAGTCGGACCGTGGAGGAGGCGAAGGTACAACTGGGCGTGTGGGTGGCGGCGTAGGTGGCACGGATCGAGGCACTCGTGGAGCAGCTTGCTCCGCTTGGGGTGAAGAAGCCGGCAGCAGAGGCACGGCCTGGCCGATTGGAATCGGACATGGTCACACGAGGGTCGACGGAAAAGCCGCGGGAGAGGTGGCAGGATCTCGCGAGCGGAGCAGCCACAGACGCAGGAACCGACCCCATCTCCCACCGTCGTGATGGTCCCGGATCCCTCTGATATCCTCTCACAGACTGTATTTCCATTCATCGACATCCAATCTGAAGCGTGGTCGCTCTTCTTCGCCCGGTTCACGCCCTCAAACGCTCCCCACCCATCGAATTTGGACATACGCAAACCGGTTTCGAATATTCGGATCTTCCATTCGGTTCCCTTGGGAAACGCGGCGAATACGGTGCAGACATATCGGCCGGTCAAGAGCTTAAGGGCGCTGAGGGATTGGGTCGATGGGGACTTCCGCAGTGGCGGGATGTGTTTTTGGGGGTTCGCGACGCTGAAGCGGGCGGTGGGTGAGGTTGCATTGGCAGCACTTTGTATTGAGACTCGTTGTGCAATACACCAGCGCTTCGCGTTGCTCTTTTCCATACATCCACATACTCTGAATCGTGAGTTGAAACTGTGTGTCGCTCTTGCAATAGACATCCTTCGCGCCGCGAATAGGTTGATTCTTCACTGATTCCCAAGTTCGAACTTTAAACGGCGAGCTGTCTGACTGCAAGCTAGCGGTTGCCTTTAACTCTACAGTGTGATCTCTTAGATTGTCTTCGTATTGCTAATAATATTTTGTCACGAGCCAGTCGCTGGATTAAGCACTCGCGTCCATGTTCACGACGCCATTGCAAGACCACTATGATGTGCAATAGTTCCCGGGTCGCCTTCTTGGCCCTGTGCACAGGTTTTATCTGCTTAGCGTTATTGAGTATTATTTTGGTTCCCGTAGATCGGTTCCGGGTGCCCGGTTCTGGACCCATCTGATCTTGGTCGACTATGGACGTCTTTGCGCCTCGGCTAGAAGTGGCGATATCTGGTGCCAATTCTAATCTCCTTCATCCGCACCAGAACAAAATCAACGCCCCTCACGCAACCCTATGGCCGGAGCGGGTCGGCCATCCTCCCTGCAAATGATGGCGACATCGAGTAACCACTATCCGATGTCGCTAAAAGAGCTCGCTTACCGTGTCCGTGCACCTCGTGAGCCACCCCACCAACTTTGGACGTTACTTTGCACCCCCTACAACTCAACGCCACGATGCCTTTAAAGGAAGCCCTAAGATATGTGACCAAATCGAACCTTACAAGACTTCATTTTAGAGCCAATCAGCAGCGTCGGAGCATACGATCCCTGCTTAGCTCCTCGCCTCATTAAAACTCTCAGCTACAGCCATCCTCATCTAAGTCTCACTGAATAAATCTCAGCTTCTGCATATACATTATGTAGGCTAAAGGCGCGAAAAAAGTAAGAACTAAGAGGCCGCTCTTGTCGCGTAGCGCAGTCGCGTCTTGTGTTGCAGTCTCTCCTAACTTCCCTCACTCGCCTTCTGTCAGAATATGGGCATATTTTGGGTGGTGGACAAAATCCGGGTGTTCGGAGCTGTGGATTCTGTGGATCAGTTAAATTAGTCAGCGCGCACAATCCACCGCGACCGAACTGATCGAACGGCGTTGGAACAACAACATAACACCACATCAGACCACAACAATACAATCGATCCCCATCATAATATTATACTATCATCCCCGTCTTTGATAACCCATCACAATCTGACAGCTCGATGCAAGTATTAGAGATTAGATTGTTGAGTGTGTGGGTGTGTAGGTGTCTGAGTGATGTTCGATGGGATCCTTCGCGATCCCATATGGTTTCCACTGTCCGAGCGCCCTTCGGGTCCGTTCATTCCCACTTGCTCCACCACATCCCTCCCTCGCTTAGGAGGAAGGCCCCCTCTTCCTTATCTATAACCGAAACCTACTTAGATAGGCCGTGAACTACCTCTATATACTGTGGTAGAGGGATAGCATCAATAGTCAGAAGAGAGGCTGCCTACGCTGGCAAATGGGTTGGGTATACCCAGTCTTGGGTTGGGGTTGGGTTGGGGTCGCACAGACCATGGGTTAGGGTTGGGTTGGGGTCGCACAGACCATGGGTTAGGGCTGGGCTGGGGTCGCACAGACCAAGTGGTAGGGTTGGGCTTGGGTTGGGTTGGGTTGGGTTGGGGTTGGGTTATATTTTTTGGGTACTTTAACGGAACAACACTTAATTAAGATAATGTGTACACGTTGATGATATAGTAGATACATAAAACGAGATATATTAACACAGCTAATTATCACGGTAGCGCTGAGGACGCTGGCGCTTTCGAGGTGGCAATTGACGCTCCTCCTGGACCTCTTCCTCCGACTCTTCTTCTGTAGTCTGGTTCTCCTCATCTATATCGAAGGTATGCTCTAACGAGGCTGGAAGCTCAAAAAGATCATTAACCTCGTCAATTGGCTCTCCATCCTCCCCTAATTGAGCAACTAGGTAGTCTAGACCCTGTTCTTCCTCTTGAGATATTGTATCCTTAAGAACCATTATCTGCTGTATTGTCCGGGCAGATAGTCGGTGCCTCCGACTACCAATAACATCCTTAGCAACATTGAAAACTCTTTCAACCCCAACCTGAGCAATTGGTATTGCTAGTATATCCTTCGCCACTTGGGATAGTCGTGGGTAGGTAGGCTCGTTCGTCTTCCACCACTCTAGAATATCGAAAGAGTCATCTGTCATTACACAGGCAGTACTAAGGTAGGACTCTCCTTCTTGGCGGGTTGGGCCAGTTGTCTTGTCTGATTCTACTAGTGAAGAGTTCTGGGAAGAAAAGCTGTTTAACGCTGATGTAGGGGGAGGAGCTGGCTTTCTGAACCACTCATTCCCAAGTGACCTCCTTTTGACTATGCTAGAGCCTGGGGTTGAACCTCTCCCGTCCGTATTATCATAACGATCAAGGTAAGCAAGAAATTGGCCTCGGTAGAGATGCTTGTACTGTGGCTCCCATGAATCGTCCTATAAGCGTAATTAGAGCGTGACTGTGATAAATAGCTGTGATAATCATACTTCATATGCTGTAAGCTTCTGCGTTGGATCAAGGATAGTGGCACAATTAAACAAGAACCCACGTTCTGCGTCTGTCTTCGAATAGTACTTGCTCAGTTTTAGACGACCCCTGTCAGCTGCAGCTCGTACTACGTCTAGCCATTCCCTATCATCTTGATTTTCTTCATCCTCATCTAGGTCCTCTGACATTTTGTCCAAGAAATCAAACAGTCGATTGTACATTAACCAAATATACTGAATCTGGGGCTTCTCGTTCTGGCTGAGGAAGCTAGTTGCTGTTTTAAACCGTTTAAGCATCTCAGTAACGAGTTCGAGATGATGCCACTCAGTCGAAGATAAGCGGAGGCGTTTAAGATCCCGGAAATCAATCTCAGCCATTTGATTGTTGTCTAGAGAGCTATCCAGGTGACTACCTGGCCTTAGCAAGATTTCTTGTTTAAGCCATTCATCAATATATTTTTGGATTTTGAGCGCGCGCTCTAACATGTCGTATGTTGAGTTCCATCGGGTTTTCACGTCGCGGATAACAGATAATCGCTCCTTTGGCGGTAGATGTTGTTGTACCGCAATAAACCGCTCAAAGCGTTGAGGTGATACGTCAATAGCGATACAAATCGCCCTTATCTAGTCTATTATTAGTATGTGATAAATGAATGTGTTAAAAGCGAAATACCTTGCGAAGGGAATTTGGGACTGAAATATGCGTCTCAATGTCCTGTATATGACGTCTCTGTAGGGTATCCCTTGCTCCTAACTCTGTAGTTGCTGCTAGCCGAAGGTGTTGGATAATATCCTGGACAACGAGGTTGATAATATGGGCAAGGCAAGGGATAGTGTTTTCTCTGGCACTCCACTGAATGTCGACTTCTTGGAGTTTAGACTGGAGAGTGCGAGCAAGTACGCTATTGTTACTAGCGTTATCACAAGTAATAGCTAGAAGCTGGGTTTTGGTCTTTGTATCCAGAAGAATATGCAGTACCTCGTCTGCCATAGAAGTACCGGTGTGCCTGCCGCGCATAGGGAGAAAGTCAAGTAGCTTTTCCTGAAGTTTCTAGTCTTTGTTAATGTAGTAACCCTTTACCGCAAGAAAGCAGAGGTGATTAGCTGCAGACCAGGCATCTAAGGCGATTGAGATCTTTGTTGATTTTCCAAGATCTCGAAGGATAGACCTTTTTGCTTCCTCATGTTGACTCTTGAATATCGTCTTGAATTTACAACGACTAATTATCACAGTATCTGGTCGAAGGAACCGAAGAAATCGATGGAAAGATGGTCGTTCAACTGTTCGGAATGACCAGTTGCTGTCGATTACTACCCGTACAAGCTCCTTTTCAAAGGTAGTAGTAGTGTAAGCTGGTATTGATGAAGTACTGTTTCTTTGTTGACGTTGGGATAGAGTAGAGGCCGATAAGTCTGCCTCATTATGAATAGGAGTAAGGACATTTCGACAGCTTTTTGTTTTAAGATGAGTAATAAGGTGCTTTGTCCCAATACCACCTAGATTTGGATGCTGGAGTGCAAGACTACAGTTGTAGCAGAACACGTAGGGGTGGCCAGTTCGAAGCTCAGCAGCTTCTCCAAATCGTAACCATACTGTGCCATAGCGAGTAGGAGAGTTCCATCGTGGGTTATTATTTTTAGGGTTTATACCCCAGCTAGTATTACTCCACCACGCTGTCCATGTCCCTAAGATCTCACTTACACTATAATCTTGCAGAAAACGATTATTTGGATATTTCACTAATCCAATCGTTCTCCTGTCACCCCCCTTTGTAACCTGTGGAGAATTGATTTTTAAACAGTTGAGGTCCTCCGGAAATTCAATATTAGTAGGATTAGGCATAAGCTCAATAGACTGTGCAGCTATGTCCATCGCTTCTAGAAAGTAGTAGAATAAGGCATTAATAGTAGTAGCACACAATAGGAAAAAGTTGAGAAGTTTAAGTTTGGATGTAGGACTCAAGGCTTCTCACGCTCCTCTTAGCTTTGCTTGCGCTATGACGCCTGTAATTTAACTTGAAACCTTGGCATATTACTAGCGGAATATCATTTTTAATGCCTCATAGTAAACACAGAGATCGTCAGGAGTGCACGGATATTAATCTGCATAAATGACAGATCACAATCTTAAGTTAAGATTATATGGCGCAATAATCCGTGTTAATTGGTTGTGATAACTGCTTACTATCCCTCAATGCTTGAAAGTGTCTTAGCCTAAAACTCTAATTATCAGACTCAGAAGCGGCATCAGAATCCGGAAACCCCTCAAACTCAGAGTCCTCAGATTCCTCAGACTCCTCAAGCGCTGCCTGCTTCTGTACAGCAGCCCACTGGTCGTCATCCTCGTACTCGTCTTCAAGTGAATTGAAATGCTCCTCAAGATCAGAGTCATAGTCAACCTCTTCTTCACACTCATCGC